AAATAATTATTTAATTTAATTCAAATTTAGTAACTTCAAATCTCTACTACTTCTGAACTAGTGTGTCTATAAAATAATAATATTATTTTCAGGTTTCTTTTGACATGCTTTATAACTACAGAGTCAAATTTTAGCTTTATTATAATTAGCTACTAAAACTCAACTACAGTAATATTACAAAGAAATTAAAATTTTGACTCTATATACCAGAAACGGAGTTTGTACAACGTAGTGTATGGTTTACAGTAGGGATGGGAAAATTAAGAATTTTTCGAATCTACTGCGCAGCTTGCACGGGCCTGCATTACAGCTAATGTGGGCCAAAATTGTTAAATTCTGCGTTATTACGAAAAATTCTGGGCTTTCGAAAAATTCCGCCTGCGCAGTGTCCCATCCCTAGTTTACAGGCAAGTTAATATGCGTGTACAATTCTCAGCATATGATTGGGTAATCTGTCATTGTGACTTTGTAAAGCACTCCGAACATTACTTTAAAAGGTAGGTACCAGGAGCAAATGCCTTTGTACACAAAATCTTGGAATTGATTGGTTTGCGTAACTTATTCATTATTTAATATTTTTTTAAAAAAACATAAATGAGCGCATATATCTGTAAAATCGAAAATGCTATAACAAACGATAGTAAAAATAAGTTTTTTAGGCACAAAAATTAGTGACCCAATATAAATTTAAAGGCCTCAATGCTAAATATTTGGTAATTTTCATTTTTTTTCGTCGAATTTTTTATCAGGATGATAAAATGATGTTCACTGATCATCAAAGACTTTATCGAAAGAATTTGTTGATCATTTCTAAATAAATGCACTACATATATTTTAATGTTTTTTGCAGGCTCTAGAATTTTGGGTCGGATTCATTGGAACCGAGTGACGCTAGCTAACCAACTATATAGCAGTCAAACATTGACTTCATCAATAGGTTTTTAGGCTTGGTCACTGAAATTTAAACCAATATTCAGATTGCAAGTACTATCGACTTCTTTTATGAAGAGTCATTTTCTTATACCAGGAATGGATTGCAATGAAGAATATGGTTTCCCGTGACTGAAATGGTGTCTGCATAGATTTTTCCTGTTCCTGGTTTTGCGCAACCACATTGCGCAGTTACTTATTGTTATAAAGCAGAATCTGCAGATTATATTTATATTTTTATAGACACGCTAGTTCAGAAGTAGTAGCAAAAAATCTACATACATATACTGTATAAATCCTATCGATCACTATAATGCGATATCGATAATTTGCTTATCATATGAAAAGCAAATTAAATAGTAATACTTATACGTAATCTAAAAGACTATTTAAACACTTTCAGACTTTGGTAATAAATTATTTTAAAACACATGCACTAAATTCAACATGAATATCTGAATAACTTATCCAAAGTTCATCAGGCCAATAGACGCTTCAACAGAAATTGCAGAAGAAAATAAAAAATGAGTTAGCCTTAGTAAAGCACTAATACTTATTATAGCAAGTTTCCCAGAAATTATATTCATATAAAATTTGAGTTCCAGGTTACCCATCCGATTAAAAAATCATTACTGGGTTACTTTAAATAATCCAGGTCATCCAGTTAAGAAATCACTTTATCAAATGCCCATCCTTTTTTGCTATGTTAAGGTCACATTACAGGCACCATATTCGCCACGACAATTATTTATATAAATTGGTTCTTCATTTTAATTTAGGTCATGTATAGATTTTTCTAAATGTTAATATTTTCAACTAATTGACCCGTTTTGCAAACATTAAAGTTAATATCATTTAGGACTTATCATTTTTGTTTAAAGACTTGCTCCTGAACATCTTCCTCGTTTGTTTTTTGAGTAGACCGTTCTCTTGTTAAAAATTTCGGAGTCAGAGGTTTTGGATCGTGTAGGCCTGGACGCTGCAGTATATTCATTTATTATCATCAGATGTTATTAGTAAACTTCACATTTTTAAAAATATTTTATTAAGTTCTTTAGGTATTTTTTATTAATCTTGTTTTGCTAAAGTTTAAAACATGATTAATTGGTGCTAGCTGTTTAATCTTTTTTGCTTTAGAAATGTTTTCTATAACATTTGAAAATCATGTTTAATGCCAATTATTCAAAACATCATGATCATGATCATGTTTTACAATTCATAAATAAGTAAAGATGAAAATAATTCAAAGGTTATAGGTTGGAAAATTATGTGACTGTGCCATCGATTATTGGTTACGCTGATGCTTTTGGGAAATTATTTACAGCAAAGACAGCTCGATCCAAAGTGAATCCCTCTCGCCTGTGATCAATCACAAATTAAATTATTTATGTTGGATTCAATTGTGATGGATATAATCCCTCACCGGCTTTAATCTATGTGTAACATTAACGGTTTCTGCTGTAGAAATAATTGTGTCGGAAGATGATTATGTAGAGAAATGATTTGTCGGAGAAATGATTGTGTCGGGAAAATGACTTGACAGTAAAATGATTATGTCGAGGAAATGGTTATGTCGGGGAAATGGTTATGTAGGGAAATGATTTGTCGGAGAAATGATAATGTCGGGGAAATGATTGTGTCGGGTAAGTGATTATGTCGGGAAAGTGACTGTCGAGGAAATAAATTTCGGGAAAATGATTGTGTCAGGGAAATGATTTGTCAGGAAAGTGATTGTCAGGAAAATTAATGTCGGGGAAATGATAGGGATCCAAGACTTAGCAATAATTGAAAGAGAAATACATTTTTGTGCAAGATGTTTTTCGAGTTCGTCTTTGTACACCGTGCTAATAATTAAGTAAGGTTTAAAAAAAAACTATTACACATTATTTTTAAGATAATGAGATTTATCATATGGACATGGAATACGCTCTCTTGTAGTTGGATTTGGATCGTTTGCTAAATGCTCCACAGTAATTGTTGCCAATTTTTGTGGGAAGATGGCAGTATCGTCTTCATAAATGTCACCAATATGCTAATATTAGAATCATATACCATCATTTCAGATTTAGAAGTTATAGATCAACGTTATTTTACTTCCTCGACACGTGCTTTAAATATCCTCCGCCTTACCAAGCGAGCGTGTAAATCCAGAATTTACTCCCACTTGAAGCACACTAGCACCGTATTTGAAATTCGAAAACCACGAAACAGACCATTTCGGCTCTTTACCTACAGAAGTTGAAGAATTAATGCAGTCTGCTGGTGGGTTTGGCTTTTTTGTACGTGTAGCGTATTTCAAAATTACAATAAGGAGTGGTGATATTGGTGTTTCTAATCGTTTGAGAGATTTAGCTGGCTTATCAAGTGAGCATATTACCTTACAGAAGTATATGACGGTATTTTGGGCTGGACTACTGGTTATGCTGCAGTGGTAACTAGCACTTGTTGCTACCGACAAAGTTTGTAATTTATTATTTTAATTTAAAATACTCAGATCATACAAACTAGCTGACCAATTTCTTTACAGCAACCGCTTAAATGACCTGATAATGCCTATAAGTTTCAAATGCCCATTTGTGATGATGAACCGATTGATTCAGATAAACTCCCTCTGATGTGCTTAATTCCTTCGGCTGAAGGTTTAAAACCGGGGCTATTGGCATGCACTCCTAAAGGGGTGTTTCGTTATTGGGAAGATATATCTTATACTATGACAGAAGCTGAACGTTGCAAAGGATTGAAACTGTACCTTCAAGAAGGTGATCAAGGAATATATCTAGCATGCCACGAAGTAAGTTAATATATATTTTTTTCATGTATTTAATAATCCATTTAAATCACCTTGTATTAAATTATCAATCTATTAGACAAAAGAATCATCTCGAGAAAATTGTGTAATAATATTTGGTACAAAACATGTTGTACTGTATCGAATTAATGTTTGCCAACTGGATGGAAAACCAACACTTATTTCTTCTTCAATACCTCGCCCTGGAGGATTTATCGGGCAATTAAGTTCGTATCTTTGGCAAAGTGGAAAACTTGACGATGGTGGGATTGTATCAACAACTTTAGGCGCCAAATCGGGTAAAAATATTGATATTATATTGTTTATACGCATCTACTCTTATTAATTATGAAAATGTAAATTCAATGTGAATAGTGAGTTATTTGTCTTGCTGGAAAAATCATTAGAAACATGGGGTCTCTCTGGAACACGTATTGTGCCAAAGGTAAAGATACAAGTCACAATCAGATTTAAATTTGTTTTATGCATTAACGATCATTCATTGTTTGTTACAATATTTCTGACACTTTTCTTAATGTTTATAGATGGATCTTCATATCAAATACTAATGATATGTCCGATGAAGATTTGAACGATCAGATCAAGGGAACAGCCGTTTATCATACGTTGGATATTGTCAGTCAAACTGCTGGTATTATTTACTTTATGTTTAATTGTTTACAATCAACATATTGTTATTTAATATTAGACATCCCATTAATTCAATGGTTTTGTCCGCCTGCAGAAGCATTTTTTGCAAGCACTGAAGAGCAACTTCGTAGACGATTTCCTGACTTTAATGAAGAAGAATTGGCAGGGTTGATTGAGGATTATAAAAGGGAAAATGTAGCTTTAGAGAGGGTTGTTAAAGAGCATAATTTGGTGATGCATGTAGAATATGCATTAAGGTTATTGGATTTGAAATTTGCATTAGATATCCAATATGATTAGTAGTGTTAGTATTTTAATCCATAAACTGTTTATCCATTTATCTGTTGAACATCTGAAATATGATAGATAATTAGTTAAAATAAACTAATAATCGAATTATTTGATAAATTCTTCGGATTATGTATGTATTGTTAATACAAGGAGTGCTAGTATAAGGATTTTTTGATTAAACGTTGATAATGTTTGTTCATATAATAATGGTTACTATTATTATCCGGTCGTTATAAAATTATGCGTGTGGCAAATCTGTGCGAGTCCTGGAATTATGATTATAAATTACACAACTAACCGTGCATTGACACGTAATTATTATCGCGGATCATGATGAAATATATAGGATTAAAATGAAATTGGGAGTCTAAGAGATTTTCTTTCTTATGATATTATTATATAGTTGCACACTTTAGATTTAAAATTACACTTGAATAACCAGGTTTAGTATTAGGACTTCGAATTATTAAATTTACTATAGTCTGGCGATCGAACCTCTAATACTTTCGCTATGCCACTTGTATATTGCCAAATGAATATATAACTGAAGCATGTTTTGAAAATAAAAAGTTTATTGTTAATTGGAACAATTTGACCAGTTTTAACAATACTGAACCCAATTAAACGACTCGAAATTGCATTTGATGTTTCGTAAATTTTTTTTATAATTAAAGCTAAAAAGTAATTTATTTTCACTCTTTAATGTTCTTAGATGTTTCTCGCATGCGCAAAGCTCTATATAATTAATTATTTTCGAACTAGTATAAAATTTGATTCTATAACCTAAAATTATTTCTTTCTTTATAAAAAAATTTAAATAAATCAAATATTCACAATAATTATTAATTGATAAACGACGATATCGATTTATTAATTGAGACTTCATTTATTTATTTTTAATGTTTATAAAATTTTGACAAATTATGTTTTTAAAATCTAAATTTTATTTTTTACACTTTACATTTTTCATTAACCAATTTTCAAATATTTAATAAATTTATAAAATTACATAAATTTAAAAACAACTATTTTTAAAAAAAAATATACTAATTTTTTTATATAACAATTGTACCTTGGATAAATTTAATTGGAATTCGTCAGTCTTAAGTATTTTCGTTACGTATTCCGCATAATATAACCTATATTTATACCGGTATAAAAAAAAAAAAAGAGTCAATAAATTGCATAATAATTGAAAAACCAAACAAGAACGTTCACAGTAACTGTGGCCACAAAGTTACTGTGGCCGCGAAGAGCTTTCAATTGCTTGATTTTATGCATCCTTTCACCACCTACAACGATTAATATCTAATTTTCGTTCACCCGACCCTCTTAAGGAGTAATTACCTTAATTAGTCAGTCCTGCGAACAAAAAATCAAAATACTAACCAAAATAGTAACCTTTAAAACCATCGAAAGAAGAAATAGACGTTCACAACAAGCTATCCACCGTAAGTCTCAATGCTTAACTGATGACTGTCGCAAGTTGTGGCCCGAAGTGCTTCTATTATCTTCAACCTACGGTTAAAAAGTCGTGAATAGACACATACAATTAATAGCAACTATTCAGTTACTGTACCATAAACCAGATGTAATTCTCACTGATAGACCTGCCAGAAAAGCAAGCTTTTCTTTCCACTTGTTCCGCAGACGTGTTGGCAGTATCTATCAGTAAAAACAACCTAGACATCTATGATACATTACCTTGTATGTATCGACGAGCTTCTTAAAATAAAAACTATCTACAATGATATAAAAAGTTTATTTTATAAAAAGTTTGGTTTTTTACATAAACGTAAGTGTGAAAAGTGTAAAATAAAAAAATAAAAGCGTAAAAAAAAATAACGAAAAAATCAAAGGTATTGTTTTGATTATTATTGTAATTACATCATTTGTACGATCAGCACCAATAGATTTCATCAAAACAAAAAGATCGACACCAACTGACCAGGCAATATCGATATAATTGATTTAGTGATTTTTTTTTCTTCGATTCTTTAAAATAAAAAGCGATCGTTAAAAGCAATAAGATCCAACAAACACACTATTCTAAAATACTGTATATGTTAATTATCGTACCAAATTTCCACTAACAATAAATGGTCTTCCGGACACAGTAACAAAAAATTATTGACGAAAGCATAATGAATCCAAATAGTAACAAATGGCTCGATAGTATGTACGTATTAAAACTGGTTCCAATCTGGCAAGTAATATTTTACCTGTTCCAATTTGCCTACTAGCAATACACTCACAACAAAGTATGAATTTATTCAATTAATTTATCTAATTATTCTCTTTAACCATTTAGATCTATTATGAAATATGTTTATGAAACGATTGCATTTTTATGTCGTTAAATTGGTAGTGATTTTGTGTTATCATCATTTATGTAAGTTTGCAATACTTTAAAAATTGCATTCTATCATTAATATTAAAAAATTCATTCTATTACATTCTTGATTACAAATCCAAGTATTAAGGCCACACTAATTTAATTTCTTGGTTTTCATAACATGAGATTTTTAAACAGACCTAGCCAGCCGGGTTTTTTTTTAAATTGTCATATTTTAAAACCAACCCGGTTATTAAAACATCTAAAAAATTTTTTTTACAAGTTTTCGAATTTGACTGGCCGGGTTATGAAAGTCAATTAATTAATTTTGCATGAAACAATTTTAATGCTAAATGAGCTCCGATTTTGTCATTCACTGAAACGACATACAAAAAGTCACGTTGACACAGGATCCATACCATGTGGCCTTAAATGTTAAGATGTACCAAATTATTTAACACGTACTAATATTCTTTCGCTTTATCGATCTTTTCTTCGCGTAATTGAACGTTGACCAACGGACTATTTATGTCCAAACCGAATCTTAAAGCATGTTCTTCACTTATGTGTTACTGAAGGCTTTAGACAAAATATTGCGGTTAAAGACACGGATGTACTTAGGGCTTTAGTCTTAGATGCAGAAATTGAACTCGATGTTTTAAAAAGGCTGGCAGAAAATGAATTTAAAGAGAAGTTTTTGCAAATAGTTATCATCAAATTTAAAGATATATAAAGTCCGTATTTTACGTTCTTATCATTACCCGCTACAAATCTTGAATATCTTGAATAATATTTTGGATTAGCTGCAGGTCTATAAATCCTATCCGAAAGTGGGTTCAAATATATATCCCAATTCAGTCAAATAATGTCAATTTAAAAAACCAATCAATTAGTTAAATTAATGTCAATAAATATAAACTATGCCCGGATTTTATAAATAGTAAGGTTGAATAGATATTTATATATTATAATACAGAAGGACGATTACTAATTTGATTAACTTAATAATTCTATACGAGTGTTGCTTCCAATTATATAACATACCGGACAATTGTATACACTATTCTGGAAATTTAATAAATAACGTTTTACTTTAATCATAAAATTAGTTTCTTTCGAATTAATAAAAAAAATCTTAAAGTCTTGAAATATAGTTATTTCTTATTCCCATATTCTCTTTAAAATAATCTTCAATAACACTTATTAATCCTAAAATTTCTTCTTCAGTATTATCAGCATGTATGCAAATTCTTACACGTTCTTTTCCGACAGGGACGGTTGGCGATCGGATTGGCTTTACATTGTATCCTACCTTTTGGATTATACGACTTAATTTTACTGCATTTTCATTGCCTAAAAAACGAATATTGTAATGATTAAACAGATAATTCTGGTTATTTTAAAAATAATGTGATGCTCATTACCTGGAACAATTATTCCTTGGATAGCACTTGTGGATGGTAACAAAACATCATGCGGTAATTTGATATTTGAACGGAATATATTAATTAATTTCATTAAATTTTGTCGAAGCTATAATTGTCTTATGATTAGAATTGTAATAATTACTAAAGTTAAACATTTATACATGCAGTAATACCTGATCACCTATTTCGCTAGACATGACTTCATAAGAGCATTTTATAGATATAAGGTTGTTATATGATAAGAAAGTAGAAAAGATTAATGGCCTCGCGTAGTTGATTAGATATGACCTTAATATTTTCGGACCAAGAATAACCGCTATTATAAAAAATAATTTCTTTAAATATTTTGATAGTTGAATACGGAGAATATATGCAACGTCACAGTTTGACTACCTCCATTGCTAGCCAATGCTTTGCCGAAAGTATGTAATCGTGCGAACACGTGACGTTCCAAACCTAATTCACTAACGATCCCTCTGCCTTGATAACCATACACGCCATTTGAATGAGCCTAAGTTAAGTATAAACAAGGGTTAAAATTCATAATTTAAAAAAAAAGAGTATTGGATTATGTGATGACTATCGTTGTATATTTTTGAGAAATCAATTTAACATAATTATAGGGACTAAATTCGGCAACACTCATTTGGTAACTATTCAGATCAATACATGCCTCATCAACGAATAAGTATGCATTAAATGGTCTTAAGGTTTCAACAATTTCCTTTAGAGGAGAAAAATCACCATCCATTGAATATAAGCTTTCCACAGCCACAAAGATATTATTTTTTGTACCAATTTTCGTTATAACATTCTCTAAAACTAATTTAAGATTTTCCACATCATTATGTTTGAAACTTGTAATTAATGATGCTCTAGAATTTCTCACACCATCATGTACACTTGCATGCACGAATTCATCTATGATAACAGCATCTCCCGGTTGTGGAACACTACTAAAAAATCCTACATTCGCGTCAAAACCAGATGTAAACATCAATGCACTTTCCGCATTATGAAATTCAGCAAGAAATTTATCTAATGACTCAGCATACGATGAATTTCCATCCAAAAGTCGTGAACCTGTTGAACCCAGTGGTGGGTGAGGAAATGTGATAAGAGTATTTAAAAATTTTTCATTTAGAACCTTATTTCTTGAAAGTCCAAGAAAATCATTAGATGAAAAATCGACTGATGAAGGCGATGCAATCACTAGAGAACGACAGAGGTCACGTTTTTTCCTTCTTTCTAATATACTTTCTAATTGTTCTTTCAATGGCATTGAGAAAGTTCTTTAAATGGTACTGAAAATCGGATTCCTTTTATTTGCAATAGATGATCTATCGTGGGACAAGTGACAGTGATTAAACTTACTTTCATAATACAGATAGTGTAACTAAAATTGCCAATATTGAGCAATTAAATCAACTTTACTCAATTCTAAAATGCAGGTTGTAGTTTACACTTAATTATATACTGATTATTTGTTATATCACATGATAGAAATACGACTCTCTAAATGCAACGCCTTTTTAAATACAATGGCTTTATACACAGATAATGGGTGTTTTTTTATATTGCAAACGCATGCTATCGCTATGTTTTGATCCATCTGTAAGAGTGCAATACATTATTGGGGTAGATTTTACAGGTCATAGTAAATTCTCATCATAAACTTTTTTTTTATAGATCGACAAATGTCATCTAAAATTCAACTGCAATAACTCTAACCAGAAACCCCGCATAAATGAAATTACATTCGTTAAGTTCGTTTTAACACGCTCTTTAAAGTAATAACGCTATTTATTTGTTTTTATTGTCTAGTCTCCCAATTTTTATGCAAAGTTCTCGTTTTTGATGCATTTTTGATGAAATCTCGTTGTATGTCGTGTAACACAACATTTTCTTATAGCGGTTTAAGATAAAAAATATCGGATATTTGATAAGAAACCAAAAAAATTTATTTACTTTAAAAACTATGTTAAAATAAATCCGACAAGTATAATTTTATTTACCTGGGTTTGCTAGTTCAAGAGATATTGCGGCTTGAATTGTATTATATATTTTACTATCACCACCGTTGATTTATAAAAAAAATGTATTATGAGGATGTTTGTAAATCTATAGATGTTATCGTATTAGGTAATTTGCAGATATGTGCGGATCCTACTAAATCGGTACCATTCAATTCATCAAGCTAAATGATACGTATGAAAGTAGTCTGATGTTGGTAAAGTGGCGTGATATTTAAACACTGCAATTTGGAAATAATAATGAATATCGAAGCTGTAATTTGATTTATAACTATCCGAAATTATATGATAGTTGGAATGAATATACGGGGTTAAGCTCGAGTGATCTCATGCGCAATTAATTTAATTTTTGAATCTTGGCCATTTAAGATGAGTGTGGCGAAGCTAACACTTCCTATGTACTAATAAAAGTTTCAAAAAAATTTTTTTTGCTAATCTTTTTAAATTTATATGAATTTTGTCTTGCTTAATAACATTATATGGGAGTCGAGGCTTCGGGCACAATTTTTTAAATTGAGAAATCGATGTTTAATCAATTTGATACGTATAATGATAATTTTTGGTGCTATATCTAAAATTAGAAACTTGCATATTAAAATCTTGTTGACTCTAGAACTCTAAATGTATAAATGTATGAAATAACTAATTTAATTGGCCAATTAATTAGATTACCCCCTGCATTAATATGCAAAACTTTGAACTAGAATTATACCGAATTATAACATAATAATCTCAACAAAAATTACTGTTACAGATAGAGCGTCTACTCAAAAGTATAATCCAATAAATTATCAAGATCTGATCAAAAAGTCTCGAAGCCTCATAACGGTACAGACTGACAAAAAAAATCAGTTATGCAGATTGATGATCATCAGATATAAATTCAAATTTATTACATGTTTTAACTTATTTACTAAATACCATTATGTTTATTATGTTATTATTACCATTATTATTTTTTTTTACCTAGCTCTTTTAACTTTTTTTTTCTTTTTTTAATGTTCTGTTTCTGTTTTTTTTTTAATTTATGGTTCACTTACCTTTAGACAATAATTTTTTTTTTATATTTTCAGTTTTTGTTTTGGTTAGTTTTTTTGTATCTTTTAATTTTTATAAAGAGGTTATGTTAATATAAATAATAAAAAAATTTTTTTTTGTAAATTAAAATAAGGTTTGATGTTACATATTAGATTTTGATTTGTTAATTTATAAAAAAAGACAGAAGGTATTTATATATCATTTTTAATAATAAATATTAAAATTTTTAAAATATTTTAGTTTTTTACTTATTAATTTATATTTTTTATTGAACAATTTTAACTTGCAAGAATATGGCAACCTAGTGAAGTAGTCAGGTTGTCAACCTTCCAAGTGGTAGGTTGGGTGTTCAAATCTGATCGATGGTGAAAATTTGAATAATTATCTATATAATATTTGTATTACAGCAACTATTACTAATGATTAGGTTAGAATACCTGTAATGGCAGTTGTACCAGCATGACTGGTAGGTTATAGGGCATCTGTGCAATGTTGGAGTTATATAAAGGAATGCAAACTGACAAATCAGGTGGTACAAATACTAGATAAGTCTTTGTAGTCATGTAAATTTGTTGAAATTAGATAACAAGAAGTCCATTTGAAAAGACCTAAATAGAGAAGTAGTTGGATCTTTAATGACTCTACTGTAAAGGTTAGCCTGGAAAAATAGATACCAAGGTTTAGTATCTGGTTGTAATAGCTGGACAGGCAAGAACCTTTGGGTTAGAAGTCTCAAAGTATTACCAACTAGGCCATCAAAACAAATCAGAGAAAAAGAATATTAGACTAATCTAATATACCGATAGACTGATTGTAGTCTTACACAGGCTATTTAGATTGAAAGTTTAGTAAAAAAACAGAGAAAAAAGCAAAAGCATATTAAAGTACTGAGATTATGCTATGAAGTAGATACTAAAATCTAAGTAAACTCTACAAAGACATAGCAATTTAATGGTTAGTTCTAATTGCAAGTGTTAGTTCTGCTATAGTAATACCTAGGTCAGTTATAAAAATGAGTACAGAAGGCTCTAAGAGGTTTATCTCGAGAATAAATTAGTTTTAAGATTGAGACAATAATCTGAGCATTTAAGTATAATCTAGTGAGTTAACACAGGTTACAGGTTTAGAAGGTTTAAAATAAAACATCCAAGCAAGGGTGTTAAATATGGCAATTAGTAGGAAACTTTTGGGCAGACTTCTTAAATAGATAATATAGAAAAGTTATACATGTAGCCAATTGTATGTTTTTTTGTAGTAGTTCATTAAATTACAATACCAATAAGTGATTAATAAAGGTTAAAAGACCAAAGAGTTTATCTTAATATCAAAAAAAAAAAAATTTTAACTTGCACTACTGATTAATTATAATTAGTAGTTATAATTAACTATATAGTTAATTATAACCAGTGAGTATAATTAATCAGTAATATATAGTTTGTAAAAAAAAACTACTTTAAAACTAAGTTATTTTTTCTATAACCTGTTCTAATCCTAATATGAAAAGAAAAACAAAACTAATGCTTACTCTAACTCTAACTATCAAACCCAAACTATTTTTTCTAAATTTGTCTTAATTTTAACATAAAAAAAAAACAAAACTAATACTCAACCTAGTAGGATAATTAACTTACTTGAAAATAAATATCCTGATTACTCTATTAAACCATGAAGTATCTATAATGTAATAAGCTAATTAAAAAGTACACCTAAAGGACTTAAGAATAATGCTACTAATTTATTAAATTACCTTTTGTGTCAAAAAGAAAAGGATCCTGGTTGCATGATTGAACTTGTAATTAGTAATATAGATAGTGAACTTAAGAGAATTTTTTAGCAATCTGATGAACAAGTATAATTGTTATCAAAGTTTAATGATGTTTGTTTATTGGATACAATTTGCAAAACTAACAGATACTAATGACCATTGGTCTTGATGATTGTAGTTGATAATAATACTAAAAATAGATTAGTTGCCTAGGCATTATTATCAGATAAATCTATAGACTCTTTTAGTTGGCTCCTTATATGCCTTAAAAAAGAAAATCCAATATATAAACCAGATATTATTTTTTCTGATTCTGATTCTGCAATAGCTGTAGCAATTTCTAAAACTTTTGTAACAGCTTATCACCACTTTTGTGCATTTCATATTGGAAATAATATTAAAAAAAAGACTTGATCAAAACTTGGTAATTATTTTGATCAATTTATAAGTAGTTTTTATGCTATGCAAAATGCATTACAGAAAACTTTATTTGAATGCTAATATAAACAATTAATTGAAGCTTATTCAGCTATAGAATGTTATTTATATTAACTTTACCAATCAAAGCAAAGTTGGGCCTGCTGTTTCACAACTCAAATTTTTAATTTTAGCATTCAAAGCATATAATGTATAAAGTGTTATAATAACCTTATTAAGTCTAGCATTAATTAATCATTATCTTTAATTAAATTATATAATATAATTCAGAAGCATCTTAATAAAGAAAATAAATACAGCCATTCTCAGAAAACTATAAGCTTTAATCATAATAGTCAGTCTATAAATAAAACATTATTTCTAAAAATCATTGCAATATGTGAAAAATATCTTATACCTCATATAATTGCTGAATAAAGCAACAAATTCAACAAGTGCTTTGGTACTGATGTTATTTATTTAATATTTTATAAGAACATTGCACTAATAATGAATTTGAACTTACTGATGAATGTAATGAAAGACAATTATAATGTATAGCAAATGTATATTAACTCTATTTTAAGTAATATATCATATGATAAAATTCAAGAAGCTTGATATGTTGTTAGAATTGTGAATTTTAGAAATATGCACTATATTATTTTACTTAAGTTTATTTTTATATACATGTACCTGGCCAGTTAGCTGTGAAATTATATACAAGCATTACTATGCTGTTCTTATAGATCAAATATGGCCATTTTTCATATATCATTAATAATATAGTAATAGTATAAAGATGCTTATTTTAATAAACAAGAAGATACATTCAATAATATTTTAGAATTCAATCACATAATAATATTCTTAATAGATCTAATTCATCAAGCCAACTTAATCAAACTATATTAACTAACTAATTTGAAAAACTTATCTTTATATGTAAAACTTCAGAATCTAAAAAGCTTAATAAACAGTTTATTTAAGATCATATATATTATAGTAAAAGCTATGGATTATTACAAACTGTTCTTATATTGGTAATAAAAACAGAAACTAAAGAAAAAGTAAATAAATAGTGTTATCAATTTATATAACAAAAAAAGAAGTTAATAAATACTATAGCTTCAAATTTAAATAATACTGCATTAAATCAAGAACAAGAAAATGATATTTGTAGTATGCTAGCTTAAGAACAAGAAAATAGTATTCATAGTGTGCTGGTTTAAGAACAAAAAAATAATATTCAGATTACTAATCTGAAAATAATTTCAGTTAAGAGTTGACTAAATAAAAGACAAAAAAGTATATTAGAACAAAAAACAAAAAAACCATTAAGTGCTATCAATGAAAACTTAAATCAATTACATATATATACTTGTTCAAATTGCTATATAAAAAAACATAATATTTATTTATGTACTTTATCAAGACATAATAGCTAGTATTTAAAAGTTAGAATTAAAGATTAGATAAGCTATTACTGTTTTAATATTAATAAAATTGTTATAAGTTATATATTAAAGATATATTCTAATTAACTTTTTGTTTTGCACAACTAAATTTGAGCAAAAGTAGTCTAATTAGACAAGTTTTTTGCTAACTTTGACAAAGCTTCTGTTAAAGTTAACAAAAAACTTGTCTAATTAGACTACTTTTTGCTCAAATAATTTGGCATATAAATAATATCTTATGTTTTCAATTAAATGAAGTATAAAATTATCTAAAAAAAGTAGTAATACTATAATATGGCTTAGATAGATATTCAAAATTTATAAATAACTTCTTTTAATAGTTAGCATTTGGGTGAGTGTTAGTTTTGTTCTTCTTTTCATATTAGGATTAGAGTTAGGGTTAGAGTTAAAGTAAGCATTAGTCTTGTTTTTCTTTTCATGTTAGAGTTAGGACAGGTTATAGAAAAATAGTTTGGATTTGAAGTAGTTTTTTTTACAAACTGTATATTATTGGTTAATTATACTTACTAGTCATAATTAACTAGTGATGCAAGTTAAAATTGTCCTAATATTATTATTAATTTACTAAAATAATAATAAATAAAATAAAAATATAAATTTTTTCTCTTTATAAGTTTTATAATATATAATATACCTTTTTTTCTATATTATTTATTATGCTCTATTAATATTATTTTTTCTAAAAAATTAATTTATATATTTAAATTATATATATTTTTTTTATTATAATTAAAGTTTTATTTTTATTTTTAACAGTTTTATAGACTATGTAGGTTTTAATATTGTCTTTAATATTTTTATAACAATAGGTTTTGCATTTTATATTAGTTAATAATATTTATAAAAAACTTATATATCTTTTAGGTTTATTTAATTTAGTGCATATATATTATAATGCATCTATTTGATCAAATGATCAGATTATAAAATTATATGCAACATTAAATCAAAAAATATTAATTTTTCTAAAAATTACTTACAATTCATAATTTTGTCTATATAACCACTTTTTGCATTCTAATTAAAAAAATTCTTCAAAATTTTAATATAAAAATCATTTTTATTATTACTTAATTCTAACCTATCTTAATACTGGCTTTTACTCTAAATTAATGAATTAATTAGTTTGTTTTGATTCATATCACATCTGATCTTATAGGTGCTTTATAATATATATTCACAAAATAATAATATTTATTTTTTTATTTTTTTTAAATATTAATAGTAAGACTATGTCTTTAACTTTATTGAAATTTAATTTAAGTTTTTATAAAGAAAAGCTTGCTTTTAAATTACATATAAAGAATAAAAACTCAGATATATAATCTGCAATCTAAACCTACAAGAGTAGCCAAAGCTTATCTAGATTTAAGTTTAAATAATAATATAAGAGAGAGAGATATGATATTTAATCTATTGAATAGTCTAAAGATCAATTTTAGTAATAATTTATAGAAGATAAAGGTAGACTAGAAAAATGACTATGAGTTGAGTTAATAAAACATATAATTTGAGACTGTGTGAATATGAAATATAGTATGGAATCCATATTTGTTTGTATATTTGTTAGTTTAAGTAAAGAAGAAGTTTGATAAAAAAAATAGTAGCAGTATGATAAGAAATAGAAGCATTATAGATAGTAGAAATAAGACTAAACCAAATAGAATAGAAATAAAAGAAATTATATATAAAGAGTTATGCAATTTAAAATTATTAAGTATAAGAATTTCAGTATATAAATTAGAAAAAAGATTAACAGATATATCAAAAATAGTTGTATTTAAAATATTATTAAGAGAATTAGAGATTAAGTAGTAAATTGTTTGGATTGATAAGCAGATAATTCAATAAAATAAAAAACTAATATGGTTGCATTAATGATAGAAAGAAAAAAGTGAAGAGTTATATTTATAAAAAGTATGAGAAACAGAAAGTTTATCTATAAGAATTTTAATTTAAAAAGTTTTCAAAGTAGATAAGTAAAAGCTGAGAGCAAAATTGGAAATTTTTTGTTTATAGTTAATGTAAAGCCATGTAGCTTCCTAGTAAATATTAGATGTAATGATAGACTATTATTGAAAATAATATTGAGATATTAAAAGTATTATAATGTAAACTTGGTATATAGTTCAAATAAAGCATCAAATAGGAATCTTAATAGAAAATTCATTAATAAAAGAAGTATAGTTAAGGTTATAAGAATTATTAGTTAAGAATGTTAAATAAGATAATATTTGGTAATTATAAGCAAGTTGGTCAGCAAGATTGTTAAATGAATTATCTTGGTATGTAATAATTTTGTGAAAAGTAAGCTAAATTTTATAAGACTTAATAAAGTTAATAAGTATTTGCCAAATAGAGAAATATAGAGTATGAGTATAAGAATAAGTAGATACTAATTGGCTATGTTATGATATTTGAAGATTACTAAATGTTAATTAGTAAATATATAAATAGAACAATGTTTAGAAACAGTAATAATTACTAAAAGAATAGCAAAAATTTCAGATTTAAAGAAGTATAATTACAGTTTAACTTGTATCTAAAATGAGTTAATAGTTATAAAATTATTAACTTAAACTTAACCTATGGCTATAGAGTACTGTGAGATACCATGATTAATAACAAAACTATTAGTATAAAATGAAATAGATGATAGATTGTGATTTGAATTAAAGATAGTCTAAAGGTTATTAAAAAATTAATATATTTCAAAAATAGTAGGTAGTTGTTATAGATTAATTGTAAGTAAATATAAAAGTGAAATATGTAAGAGATATCAAAAATCAACAGAGTATGCAATATTAAGAAAGTTTATATGAAGATTAAGAGTTTTGTTAGAATTGATACAGCAAAGTAGCTTAGTAACCAAGTTAGTAGAAATAAAGATAATACAGTTATTAGTAATTGTATTTAAATTAAGTTGGCATCTAATATATAATATAGTAGTAAAGAGAAGAATAAATAAAAATTAAAAAACTAAAACTGGAATGAACAGTACCAGTAGTTGATAAGGTTAAGGCTAGTAGGTATATTATATCTTCTAATCTTGTCAATAATTATTTAGTTATTAGAACAGTAAGTAACTAAGATTTAGTATTAGAAATAAAATGACCAATAGAAAGCAGAAGTAGTTTATAGAGGTAAATTATAATAATTATATAAAGTGTGTTAGTAAAATAAAAATTTATCTTTTATTACAGTCAAACCTCTATAATTGCACCCTCTTGGGACTGGTTATAAAGGACTATTTATAGAGGATGTGCATTTAAAGAAAAATATTTTTTTTTATAATAAATTATTATTATATACTATTGTTATTAATTTATATTCATTATTATTAAATTATTTTATATATTCTTTGTTGCTAAAACTGTATTTCTTTATTACAAACTATATATATATTTTTATATATATTATTTAATAAAAATATATATCTATATTAGTTTGTGCCATTGAACTAATTTTTTCTTACTAATAAATTTTTTAAGCCTATTGAATAATCTTAGTTGCTCATTAACTTCATTTTTTTGAAGTAAATAAATTCTCTAATGCAACAGTAGCACTAATAATTAGTAGTTCAATACTATTATCTAATTCATTAGAATTATCTATCTCACTTAATTTATTTGTACCTTCAGAACTAAATGTATTAACAAGTTCTTCTATAACTTTATCATTAGAAACCTTATAGATAATAATTTTATTAGGAATGTTTAAAAATTCATCAACTTTTATTGTATTTGGAAAAGACAAAGAGTTAAGCACTTTAATAAGTTCATTATGCACAAGATCATTTCTAAAAAAAAAAAAAAAAAAAAAAATTAATATTTATTGCATGTACATACATATATACATATATATATATATACATAATATTTAACAAACAATACTGGTTATTATCTAGATTGTATAAAATTAGCACTAATAGGAAGGATCACTATTTTGTGCCAACAATTCTTTATAGTTTTAGTGATAACTTCCTTTCAACCTTTAATAACATAACAGATAGCCTGAAGAATGTCTATCTTCAAGTCTTGAATTAAGTTGCCCCTCTTGACCTGTTTCAATATCCACCTAAAATGTTATAGATAAATAAATAGATAAAGGGCATTAAGTTAGTATAAGTAGCAATTTCAGACATAAGAATAAATAAGGTAAGAGCAAAATAAATTCATAAGTCAGTAAATAAGTGTACAAACAAATCAAATAAATTAACAATTTATAAATTAATAAAATTAGGAATAAGTAAATAAATAGAAACAGATTAAAAAATGTATAAGTAAATGAATGAAGTGAATAAATAGTGAATGAGTGGATTGATAAATAATAAATAAATAGATAAACAAGTAAATTAGTAGTGAATTAGAATAATAAGCAAGTAGATAAATAAATAAATTAATGAATAAATAAGCATATTAAATAGATAAGTGAAAAAATAATAAATAATAGATTACATGAATAAGTGAATGAATGAATCAATAAGCAAATAAATGAATAAATAAATAAATAAGTAAGTAAGTGAATAATGAATAGAGATGAAATGAATAAATAGATAGATAAATAAGTGAATAAATAAAAGAATGGAATAAAACAGAAAGATCAATGAGTAGCAAAATAAATAAATATGTATATGTTGAAATAAAAAGAATACATAAGAATGTTAAAAAAATTAAATTGGTGCAAATGTAATTATAAATTATCATAGAAGCAAATAAAAATAATAAAAAAAATAACAAACTGGAAACAAATAAACAATTAAAAAAGTTAAAAATAAGTACATAAGTAAAAGAAATTAAGTAAAAAAAATTTAAATAAATTTGTAAATAAAAAATAAATTTAAATAAGAGTGCAAATAAATAAATTAAATGAATCAATAAATAGAAAAATAAAATAAATAAATGTGTAAGTAAATAAATTAATTGAATTAGTATTTTAATTACAATAAAAATAACAATAAATGATAAATTAATATATCTTATTGAAGTTGAAAGTGATAGTAGTATTTTTTAAAAGACATTATTATTCTAGCATCTATAGGTTGAATTGCTAAAGTAGTATATAGTATAAGAAAGTAGACATCAGTATTATTTAATCTTATATTATCAATTTTGTTACTTGAACAATTGTCAAGCAAGAGAAGCACTTATTGATTTCTATATTTTAGTCTCATCTGCCTATCAAATTCCTTTAACCAATCTTGAAAATGAACTGCAAGCATCCATAATTTAGCATTATTACAATATGCCATAGGTAAGTTTTTGATATTAATATTTTTGAAGCATCATAGATTAGTGTATTTTCCAATTACTAATAGGTTTAATTTGTGGGATCCATCTGTATTTATAAACAAAGCAATTGATATTCATTCTTTGTTTTTTTATAATCTGAAATATATTGTGTTGCCAGTGTTCTGTCAGATTCTAACCTGTAATTAAAATTATTTTTGTTTAATAATAACAATAATAATAATAATAAATAATAATAATAAATAAATAAAAAAAACTGGTAGAAAAGCCCTGTTTCATTCATATTATAGATGTGTTCTAAAGGGTATTGATTATATTTTTCTTTTAAAATTGGTAAGATTTCTTCAATTTTAGCATAATCAGCAAATGTTGCCTCTTCATAAAGTACTATTTGATAAATTACATTATGATCTTTAAACTTTTAAAGCCATCTATTAGAAAATTTAAGCTAATCTTCTGAAATTTTAAATTCTTTTGCTAGTAATTTGGCCTTTTCAATAATTATCACATCACTTAAAATAGTTTGATCTTAATAAACTAATATAAATTCCTTAAGTGAAAGTTCTAATTCTAGAAAAGTGACAGGTTTATGTTGTTTAGCATCTGAATTTTTTATTTCTGTTGCAAGATGTTTATCCTTTGTTTGAAGAATTCATGTAATAATAGATAAACTAACTTTAATTTTCTATTTTTGTTCAATCCATTGTATGTATTCAGCTCTAGTTTTTTTATTATTATTTTTAACATATTTGCAAAACTCATACTTTTGAATATCTGTTAAAGATTCATGCTTTTAAGACATGTTAATTAAAATTTTTGATGCTTATTAACTTTATATAGTAAAAATTATTTATGATGAATTTATAACATTATTTAGTTACATATACATGTTTATTGCAAAAATTATTTATATATAAAAATTAAGCTATAACAGTGTATAAATAAGCCAATTTTGTATGCATTTAGAATTATAGTTTCAATTAAAATTTTTTAAACTAGTTTATTTAGAGAGGGTGTTTATTTATAGAAGGTGTTTTAATATAAATATTTTTAAAATTTCTTGTATATTTAGAATAAAGAGGGTGTGCAATTATTATTATTTCCCAAGCTTGAGACCAGAATTAAGAGTTTATTTAAAGAGAATATGCAATTATAGAGGGTGCAATTATAGAGGTTTTTTTTTTTAAATATTAAGATGAGACCTTGCTCATATCTTTATTAGTAATTTTAATTGTACATATTAATATATTATATATTAAAGATATACTAAGATTGTAAAATACAAAATAAAAACTACATGCAAGAATTAAAGCTCAGACAATTAATCTGTGATCTAAACTGACTATGGTGGTCAAGGCCCACCTAGATTTGTAATGTTAAAATATAATTATAAGATGTGCTATAATTAATTCAGAATGTTAACCATATATTGATTTTTCTAATAGCCTGTCCAATCGGTAGACAGATATTAGGGCATAAGTGTAATTAATCTGCTATTCCACATAGGTATGAGTATGTAAAGTTTGTATGTGATCTTTTGTGATATCTAATTTGTTGTGTTCATTGTAAGGTATTGTAATTGTTAAAAGTTTAGAGAGATGTATTATTGTTGTTTTTTTTTTAGTTGGAGAATTCAATACAATAAGGTTTCCATATTTGGTTATAGATTTGATCATTAATATCAAGAAGTATTTGAATAATAATTTGTAAAGCTATTTTAGTAGTTATATTGTAATTATGAACTGTTTCGATTAGGGCTTTGGGTATGAGACCTTTAAGAGTAAGATCAAGATAAAAAGAGTTTGCTTGAAATGGTATTTGGTCAAATAAAGGATGCTTTTGAATTTTACAAATAAGTTCATATAGCTAACTAGTAGATAAATTAAGATCTGCTTTAGATAAGATATGCTGAACTAATAAGTTAATAATGTTTGTAATAAGAGAAGGGTTAGAGCATGTTAGCTAATGTAAGTAGGAATCAGAAAGATTACATTGAAAGCAGTTGGGATTCATGAAGATAGTTGAATAGATGTTGTGAAGAGAAAAGTGTATAGGTAGTTCATTAAGTAGAGCTTTAACTTTGAAGACTTTTGATTGATTAAGCTAAAGTTAGTAAAGTTTGATAAAGGTTTTTGGTTATGATTAAGGTATAACTATGTAGATTTCCAGTCTATGTAATGATTAATATGAGCCTATTCATTATTTCTTTTTTGTGATGACCACATTGCTAATATATAAGCTTTGCAGATATTTTTTATAAAATGTCTGGTAGGGAGCTCAACATAATTTTGTTCCCATTGTAGGATATGGAAAGGATTGTAAATATTTGTATATTGAAAGATTAAAGGCAAAGAAAAATTGTGTTATTTAGTTAAGAAATCGGCCATATTATTAAAAGTATTGTCTGTATGAGCCTGAACTTTGTGAAAGTTAATATTTAAGTTAAAAGATTTAATAATATTAAGAAAAGTGTGCCATAAAGGCCATGCATTAAATTTAAAAAGTTTATTAGAATTGTTGAGTTGAGTAGAGAGTTTGTAAAACTTTGAGATAACTAATTGTGAATCAGTATAAATTTGAAGTATTGCATTACGAGGTATAGTTGAGATTGCTGATAAGATAGAAAAGAGTTCTGCCTTATAAGCTGATAGCTATTAGTGGATTTTAGCTGAAAATTTATGAAGCACTTGGTTGTTATTGTTGACTTGAACCCATCCAATGCCCATTGAGCTTTGTTCAGTTCCAATGTCAGTTACTGATCCATCTGTATAAAAAATAAATTTCTTATAAGATAAATTGTTTTGAAAAATTTCTTCAAGTTTGTTTAAACAGTCATTTGGTTTAAAGATTTTTGTAATAGTTGAATTTGATATATTGATAGTAGGGTAGTTTTGGGGAATTCGTAACAAATGTTTAATTGTTGTTAAATAGATAAGATCTAGGTAATTAGCATTGAATTTGAGTTTAGAGGTTTTTCTTCTTAGGAAGCTAGTACAAATAGTTGCTGAAATATTGATTGTGCATGTTTGGATAATTCTGTTTGAGTTAAGGTGGCATCCTGTACATGGTGTGCAGTTTAGTTTTAGAAGAGGGTAGTAGTGATTGTATTCTAAATCAATATTAGTATTCCAATGTGATATGGAAAACTGATTTGTAATTAGAAGATATTTGCAAATTTTGCCAATAATAATCTCATTATTATCATTATTGTTGTAGCCAAGGTTTGAGTTTTTTCTTGATTGGTAAAGTGTTGTATGCAAAGGCATTAACTCTGAGAGGTTGAAAGTAAGGAAGGATTAAGCAATATATTCTATTAGATAAAATTGTGTCTTTCAGGTAGGTAAACTAAGAAGGTTGCCTTCCTTTTATTAGACAGCGAAGTTTTGGTGAAAGGTGGTGCCATTGGAGTAGTATGCTGTTGTCTGCAGTATATAATTGTTCTAGATAGAGTATGTTATTTTGCGAAGTTGTTTTTTAAAAATATGATATTTGGGATGTTGACTAAGTATTAGTTCTAATAGTTGGCAGCTATTGTGAACAGTGTTAGACCACAAAATATTAGAGTTTGCTAGAATTGAAATGCCAAAATATTGTAAGAGTTATATAATTTTAAAATTCAATGTGAGTTTGTTAGATCTATCTATACATGGTTGGCTATGTTGAAGAATATTGGTGGTGGACCAAAGGTTGTTTTGAAGTTGCTATAATCTAATTTTAGTAGAAATACCAAGAATCTCTAAGTTGTTAATTTTTTGTTGAAAGCAAGATATATAATGTTGTAGTTGGATATTCCAAATATTATATACATTATATATATGAGAGTTTAGCATAGTACTATTAGGGCTAGTATGAGAGAGTTTAGCTTTGTATTTAATCATAGTAAGATATTTGAATAAAAGTTTGTCACAGGTAGAATGTTTAAGAATGATATTGTGTAGTCTGTATTCAATGGTAGAGATAATTACAGTATTAGTAATATATATGGCTTGTTTGTCTGTAATTTTTTTTGTGCTTATAATGTTGATAAGTTGAATTGCTTCATTATAAATTAGTTGGCTTTGTTTAGTATGTGAATTATTAAGAATAAACCAACATTCTAGAAATTTGAATAGTTGGTTAGCAAGAATTAGTGTAAGTAATAAGCTAAAAAAGTAAATAGGGATTGTAGATGATGTGTTTGAGATAAGAATTGATTTAGTTAAATTAATTTAAATATCAGCCATATGGTAAAAGAAGGTAGCTTTAGCAATAATAGATTGTAATTCTTCTTTGGATTTGGCTATCCAAAGTGTATCATTCATATATGCTAGTACAGATACAGAGATTTGAAGTTGTTGAAACTTTGGTTAAAGCAGACTAGTATTTTACCTTGTAGCCAAAGTGTATTCTGAAAAGTCTGAAGCTATTTTGATTATGAGAGGATTATAATAAATTCTTCAGAAAAGTGGAGTAATGGTTTCTCCTTGATTAATGCCATTTTTGATATTGTAGGAGTTAGTAAGGCCTAAGTTTGTAATGATCTGATTGTGTCAATTAGTAAGTTAGTAAAAATGTTAATAAGATTAGATGGTATTTGTAATTATACTAAGGATTTAGTAAAGAGTGTAAGGTCTACAGAATCATAGGCTTTACTCATATCTTGAGATAAAAGCCAAAGTTGTTTTAAGTTACAAGAAGCTTCTTCAATAATATTGTTAAGTATATATATAGAGATAGCTATATTGTTACTAGGTAAAACTATGTAGTTAAAAGGTAATAGGATTTTGTGATGAATAAAGATGTGATTAAGCTGGTTGGTAAGAAGTTTTGTGTAAAGTTTTTTGACATATTCAAGTAAACTAATAGGTCTGGTGTTGGTTAAATTGCCATCAAAGATAGATTTTTTAAAAATAGAGAAAATTCTTTCTTTCTATTAATTTGGAATTTGATCAGATGTAAGACAGCGATTAAAAAGAGCTGTGATTGTATTAAGGAATGCTGTTCAAGCATGTTTGAGTATTTCATAGCTGATGCCTGATGGTCTACATGCTTTGTTGTTAAGAAGTTGATTAATGACTTCAAGAACTTTTGTAGAAGAGAATTTCTTAAGTGCTGGTTGATACCATGTAGAATCAATATTGGGTTTGAGTTGGTATTCTTGTTGCCACATTGTGTTAAATAATTGTGATTGGATGTTTCAAGGAGCTATCCAATCATCAAAGTGTTGTTGAATATGCTGTTTGATAAGTGATGATTCAGTGATAACATTATTAGGTTCTTTAATATTGTCAAACTTAACAGAGTCTTTATGTTAATTAAGTATACTATTAATTATTGATGTTGGGCTATTTTGGAGTTTAGTGCATCTTTTAGCTATGTTATCATTAATTTGTTTTCTTATATTTTTAATATTTTCTAAGTTGGATGTGGCAACTTAGTGAAGTAGATAAGTTGTCATACCTCCAAGTGATAGGTTGTAGGTTCATAACCCACCGATGCCAAAATTTGGATAAATACCTATTGTGATTTCAGAATCAGCGAGTCTGTCGCTAAATTAATCCAACTCTTGCATGACCTACGGCAGCTAAGTCGAAATAGGCATGTTAGATTTGGCGGGGTGGTTTATCCGTAGGTAAGTACTCTTCTTGTCTCTAGGTCTTTTCTTTAATCTAGTCTTCTACTAACTCTTCATCTTCTCTTTATCTTCTCTTTATCTTCTCTTTGTGCCTCAACCCAGGATTACACTACTTCGAATCAGGATTGGAACTTTCTCTATTACATTAATGGTCTTGTTATATGACTTGTGGCGAGTGATCAACTTGCGAGTTTAGGGATTAATTGAATGAATGATAGGAGTAACAACGGGGTTTACGATAGTTTATTAGTTTGTATAGTGTAGACTTTAATTTTATTAAGAGTCAGGTATTTATTTGTTATTGGGGAATTTGTTGTTAGGAAGGCGGAAATTATTGTTCTCCCTAGGCAAAAATGCCCTTTATTTATAATAAACATTTTGTTTACATTTACAGTTAATTTCTTTTATAAACGCATTAGGTTTCTTATATTCTATATCCTAACTAAGTCTAATAAAACACTAATATTTCGTTTAACTCATATGTAGGCGAAGTCAGAGAAGCGACGTAAGTAACATAAGTGACATTTCTGTCATGTCCGTGTAACCTTAGATCGGGTCAAGATCATCGCTTTGATTCGGTCACCTGTGACCCTGAAAATCGGGCTCACATTTCTCCCCTATTTGTTCTCGAGTTCTATGAGATGCCTTCAACCAACTGCCTAAGTTCTGGTGTAGTTAATCTTCGAATGTCTCCCAGGGTCAAGTTCTTTATAGATAAATCTGTTCTAGGCTGTACTTGAGGAAAATGTCGTAAGTCTAAACAGAGATGGTTAAGAAATGTGAGTGATCAGTTTCCGAAATTGCCTTTTGTTTGACTGAGTTCTGTTCGCAAATAACATGCCCAGATGGTAGGCATACGTCAACGAATCATGGGTATTCTGAAGCCGAATAGCTCTCATCAGGTAATTGTACATGGTCATCACACAGGTAGTAAAGTCATGCATCATTTCGAAGGGCAGGGGCGTAATTGTAACGTTGAACAGGTATAGTCAGTTAAGGTCTTCTATGATTTCATCCCACATAAGCAGCATTATTATGGTTTTTCAAATAAAAGCTTTCTTCTTATAATTTAGCTCCTTCTATCTTCTTTTCCCCATAATTATATATATAAAAAAAAAATTTTTTTTTTTTTTTTTAATTTTTCTCATCGATTCTCCTCATCGTTTCTTTTTGTATACCTTGTTATGATTATTCCCCCTATACCATTTTCCTTTCTCTAACTTTTATTTCCCACGTAATGTCTCTCCTTTTTCTTCTTTTCTTTTTTTTTCAATGATCTATGCCAATAATTGCCTGAAGAATCGTGATGCTGTTTCTTTAATCAGTCACATTCGGCTAGTGATATCATATGTGATTCAACGCACCTGCTCACAAATGTGAGTTTTTCTTTTTTCTTTTATTTTTTTTCTCACCAGTTATGGGTTCAGGGTCGATCGACATACGGTTTAAGCAACTTGATGTTGATGGAAGCTGATAACACTTTACCATCAATGGATGTAATTTATATACATCTTGGTATAGAGACTCATGGATATAGAACAGTTCCTTCCACTTAGGGGCCAGTTTCACGCTTCGGTTATATTCCTTCAATGCCTCATAAAACCAAACTTTATCACCAATGAACAGTTCCGGTAGGAGCCGAATTCTTTTATCATATGACTCCTTTGGTTTGCGTTGTGCCTGTTGGACCTGCACAACGACACCATGCTGAATAATTGGTAAGTTTTCCAATAACTGGAATGTCCTCTGTAGTATGGTTCCCTCTAATAACTCTTTATGATCGATGGGTTGTAAGCTTCTTGACCATGCATCAGGTAGAAAGGCGTAACTTTAGTGGTCGAATGCCTAGCAGTTCGGTAAGCAAAGAGCACTGCTGGGATGACTGTATCCCATTTGTCGATCTCGTTGACCAATCGAGTGATCAACTCACATAACGTCTTGTTAAAACATTCAACTAAGCCATTTGTCTGGAGGTGATATAGGGTGGACAGCAAGTGCTTAATCTGAAATTGCTTCAGTAGTTCATCTACTAGTTGGTTTCAAAAGTGGGTACCTCGGTCAGATAATAATTTTTCAGGGCATCCATGATGACATACAATTTCGTCAAAGAGGAAATTGGCAACTGTCTTTGCATCTGCTATTTTGATAGCCTTTGCTTCTGGCCACTTTGTCATGTAATCAGTGGCTACAACGATATATCTTTTCGACTGAGACGTAATAGGTAAGGGTTATACTATATCGATCCGACTTGGTAAAATGGAAGGTGACAGCAATTAGATGCAATGGGCCACTAAACTTGTTCCTTCCTCGTTTTTGCATGACTTCATGTATCGACGTATGTGTTCGAATGCCTGGGGCCAGTAATAAGTTCTGCGGATTTTTTCGAACATAGTGTTAGTTCCAAGATGTCCCCCCAATGGGTGATCATGCATAAGCAATAGAATTGAATCGACTTCATGTTGCTGTACTACCCTTAACGGCCAGTATGATTGGTGTTTATTTTTCTTGTAAATTAAACTGTACTTTAGTATGAACGATTTGATGTAATTAACTAATTGTCTTTTTTGCCTTTTATCTAGGTCTAGCAGTATGGAGCTGTCTTGAAGGTATTGTCTAAGTCGATCGTATCTAGTGGGTTTCATTTTGCCTTCTCGGCCAGGACACTGACTATCTGGACTGGATTTCTTTTAACGTCAGATTTGTGGTGATCTTCGTAGTCATGTTTCTTCGCAGTATTTGTTGTACTAATTTGGTGTCAGTTTAATTGAAGCTATACAACCCGCTCCAATACATCCTAACCTTTCTTAAATTCATTAGATCTGTGATGCATATGTTATGAGTTCTATCTACGAGGCAACATCTTCTTTTTCTTTGGCCTCAAGATTTTTTCATAAGGATTGTCTATATCATCTTTTTTTCGATTATCAACGATCTGTATCGCTGATTTACAACAGTTTCCTGCAGAATCGCGATGTCACTACTTTAGTCAGCTGTATTCCGCTAAGGATTTCTTGTGTATTTGATGCTCCCACCTACAAATGTGGGTCTATATTATATTATCTTAACTAATTTAATATTCTATATTTATATCTATTCTTAACTAACTAAAATATTTATATTTATTTATTATTATTATTATTGTTCTTCCATGATATCACTTTCGGTCTACTGAGTGACTCTCTTTTATCCATTGACCACGGTCAATGGCTCATTTTAGTGGTCATCATTCCATGGCTACAGATGTCTGTGGAAGCATCTGCGAGAACATCCTCAAAATGGCGTCACGCAAGGATCTTATTGATTTCTTCGATTATACATTGTTTGCGTTCTTCCTCTAGCACGGTATTGTCTTTTTCTACAAAATATGAGTCTTCGTCTTGCTTATCATCTGGGCGAGCTCGGTCTCCATCAAATGTTTCCAGAACTATCGATTCCAGAATCATTAAGTATCTTACTTCCTTTTCGTAGGGTTCCCAACACATCTCTCATCGTCGTATAGGTCAAGTATCTCGTCACCTGGAATAGCTTTGTGTTAAGTCCCTCTCCATTCAATTCATAGTCGATGTCCAGTTCATAGTCAATTTCTAATTCATCGTAGATAGTGACTAAAAATGCTTCAACTTTTTTCTCCTTATACCATCCATTCCTCGTCATGTTTTCATCCGTGGTGGCAGTCAAGAATCATTCTTCTGCCTCAATTTCGAAGTAGTCATCTATCGTATATGCTTCTTCTTCTATCTGTCGACCCTGCTCTTCATTTCTCAGAGGCAATTGTAGTCTTTCGTTAAGATGGTTCTCCTCTTCAGGGTCTGCAAGAATATTTTCAAGCAAGTACATACACTCCCTCTCTTTTATCCCATATTCTTCTTCCTCTGTTAGGTCACACCAAGCTTCCCCAGCCCCAAGATGGTAGTTATGCGAATACCCAGAATCATAAGCATCATCTTCCGATTCTTCTTCGTAATCGCTCCAATTTCCGCCTACTCATCCTTCTGCCAATGTCGTATAGGTCTCCTCCTTCGTTACAAGTTCTTCGTCCCCTTCGTTTGGTGGCCGTATTGTGATAGGGGTCCTACAATTTTCCTTTGACTCAACAATCTCCAAGCCGACAATTTTCTTTTTTTCATTCTTTTTAGGTTCTTTGTCGTTCCAAGTTCGGGGTCCTTTTTTTAGGTTGGATCCTCTTGGTCGGGTTCAATTCTCCTCGATAGTGCATCGGCATTCGAATGGACTCAACCAGCTCGATGCTCAATTGTATAATTATATGGTTGTAAGTAGAGGATCCACCGGGCTCTTCTACCCTTTAGTTTCAAAGTCTGTAACCATTTTAAGGATGAATGGTCTGTCACTATGACGAATGGCCTAAATCCGAAATAGTGGTGGTAGTACTTTATGGCCCAGAGTACTGCAAGACATTCTCATTCAGTTGCTGAATAGTTTCGTTCAGCCTTAGAGAGACTTCATCTCACATATGCAATAACATGTTCTTTGTTTCCTTCATCTTTTTGTGCTAGAACTGCACCAAGTCCTGTTCCAGAGGCATCAGTATGTAGGTAAAACATCTTGTCGAAATCAGGGTACTTGAGTATTGGCACCGAAGTTAAGTGGTCCTTCAATTTGTCGAATGCACTCTGTTGTTCCTGTCGCCATTCATAGCTAACACCTTTTTGCAACAAGTAATGTAGTGGTTTGGCGATCATGGCGAACCTTTGAATGAATCGTCAATAGTACGAGGATAGCTGATAAAGCCTCTTAATTGTCAAAAGGTTCGGGGTATAGAAAAGTTTTTAACCTTTTCTACTTTTGCCTCGTTGGGTCTAATTCTGTCACGACCAACCACGTGTCCAAGAAAGTGGATATTTGGTTTGAAGAAATCGCATTTTTTAATATTCATCTTTATTCTGGCTTTATCCAGCTTTTCAAACAACTCTTGCAAATGCATCGATGCTCGTCGAACGTCTTCGAGTATACATTAATATCATCAAAATAAATGACAACAAATTTCCCTATATATTCTTTCAACACTTTGTCCATAAGGGCTGGAAGGTAGCCGGGGCGTTACATAAATCAAATGGCATCACATTAAATTCGAATAGGCCGCTTCGGGTAACGAATGCCATCTTTTCTTGGTCTTCTTTGTTCATTCTAACCTGCCAATATCTACTTTTTAGGTCCAGGCTTGAAAACCAATTGGTGGTCCTAAAGGTTTCTAGTAGATCATTGATTTGGGGCAACGGGTAAGCATCTTTCTTTGTTAAGGTGTTTAATTTGGGTAGTCAACACATAGTCGTAATTTGCCACTCTTCTTTGGTACTACTACTGGTGATGCCCAGGGGCTACTGGACTTTTTAATTAACTTTTGTGTTTCCTTCTCTCTTAGTTCTTTTTCTACAAACTCCTGTTCGTCTGGTGTGATCCTGTAAGCATGTTGTTTAATCAGTGTAGCGTCAGCGGTATCGATTCCGTGGGTGATGACATTCGTTATACCTAGTTCCCATATCTCTTTTGCGAATAGTGATTCTTATTGCTAAAGAATTCTTGCGCTTTTACTCTTTCCTCTTCATTGAGAGTCTCAACTTGCGTGAATTTCTCTAACCGGGCACTAACGGCAAGCTCGCTTTCATTTTCTTCAGTGGGTATTTCGTCCACGTTGGTCAAGTAGATGGTGAGGCTGGCTTCGTTCTTCCATGGGTTGTAGTAGAGCTTATTTTCGTCTCCCGGCATTTTCTTGCTATAGTATACTTCAGCCTCGTTTAGTTCCTCTTCATCGTAGGTAAGTTCGTCGAAGGTATCTCCACTGTCACTACTCCAGGTATCCTCTTCTCTCGGTTCTTCTAATCTTTTCTTTTCATCGTTTAATATTGGTATTTCGACGGTCCTCCCCTTGTGCTTTATGAGTAATCATTGCTCATCGAAATGGAGTCTTGCTTGAGCTTTTTGGAACCAATCTGTTCCCAACAGTAACGTTTCATCGGTGGATTCTATTACTTGAAACGTACTAGGCAGAACAGCATCCCATAATGTAACGCTGAGGTCATCTATCTGTCCTAATGCTCTAGTTCAGGTCCCAGTTGCAGTGACTACCACCGTCGTCGATGGTCAGTTAATCTTGATTCATAGTTTATCAATGAGCCTCTTGGTCATTATGCTTACGGCTGCTCCGGAGTCTAGCATGACTTTTATTGAATTCTCTTTTATTCTTATGTAACAATATGCTGTAGTCATTTGCTAGGTTCCTCCAAAGTTCACCAATCAAGCTTCCTGAGGAGCAAGGGGCCTTCAAAGGGCTTGTGCCAATATCTGTTGTTGATTGAGATATTGGAGCAACTGTCCATAAGTAACGTGGGCAGGTGAGTTCAACAGATTTTGGGTGATATTGTAAGGGTCCAACTTATTAACTATGGAAGGTTCACAGTTTCTTCAGGTTTTAGGATTGGTCTAACTATGTCTTCCTTCATTGGGTCCGAGGTGTCGTCTAAGTTCACTAGGGGTGCTTCATCTACTTCTCATCGTTGTCTTAGTTGATTGTCCCATTATGACTCAGCCTGTAACCTCAGTCGTTTTTCAGGATATTCATCTGGTTGGGCTGATTGTCTTCGTTTTTCAAGATTGTACAGTTCGTCTTCCCCTTCTCAGATTACACAATTTACCTTTCGGACTTGCTGCAGCCTTCTCATTTCTTTATTCGAATGTTGTGGTCTTTCTGTCCCTTCATTTGTGCATCTTGGTTGTCCTTCAGCCAGGCAATATCGCATGATATGTCCAATTTCTCCACATCCATAGCACATGATGTCTCTTCTCGGTCTATGGTAGCTTTTGCAGCGTCTTTCAGGTTCGGAGGTTTCTTTTCCTTTCTTGTTGTTTAACGCTACATAGTTTACCGACAGTTGTTGAACTTATTTGACTAAGGCTTTGATTAATTCATCCTTCTTATCTGTAGACCTGGCAGTCTCAGACATATGGGTGCCATAATAATCTCCAGCTTCTACTTTTCTAGTGGCTACGATGGCCTCGTTTAATTCTCGTGGTGACGTTAAAGCTACGAATGTGGTGGTTTTTCCTTTTAGCCCTCCAAGGAACATTCTCACGGTATAGGATTCAGGTAAGGGGTCTATCCGACTTAGCAGCTTCTTAAATTTGGTTGCATAAGCATTGACTTTCTCGTTTTCACCTTGGGCTAAAGTGTTAAGTTCTAATTGCCATTTGTGCTGCTTTTCTGAAGTGGTAAAGAATGTTACCAATAGGAAGTGGAAGCTGTTTTCTACTGCCCCATCTCTTTTCCAGTAGGCTATCTCGTCCAGGTTGTTCTTGTACTATTCGGCAGCCATACCTCTCAGATGGCTGAAGGCGATTTGTATCTTTCATTGGTCATTCCAATTGTTTGCTTCTGTGGCTCATTCAAAGTCTTCAAGCCATTCAATTGGATTGTCATCGTCGTTCCCACTGAAGGTTCTTATTTTCACAAGATTCATTTCTTTGGAATTTGGTCTATTCCCATCAGTAATACTTCTAGTGGTGTCTTTGAATGATCGTGTCATGGTGTCGATTAGTTCTTTAAGTTGGGTATTATTCATGGCTTCTGTCTTGTCTTTTCCAAAGATTAGTTCCAGTTTTGTCTTCTTATATAACTCTAACCTATCTTAGTATGATTGTTAGAGGTTTTTAATTAGTCTTCTGCTTTACTATTACTCTTAAACTAATTTTCCTTAAAATTTTTCAATGGGGGGGTAGCGAGTGTTTTACTAATTTTGTAATCTCATAGTCACTACCAAATGTGATTCTGGAATCAGCAAGTCTGTCGCTAAATTAATCTAACTCTTGTGTGACCTATGGTGGCTAAGTCGAAATAGGCATATTAGATTTGGCTGGGTGGTTTATCTGTAGGTAAGTACTCTTCTTGTCTCTAGGTCTTTTCTTTAATCTAGTCTTCTACTAACTCTTCATCTTCTCTTTATCT